TAAGATGGCCCCTAGTGCCTGCCCTGTAGAAAAATACTTGTACATTCACCGGACCAAAAACTGCCAAAAACAAGATTCATGCTATAGCTCTGAGCTATTTGAGGAAAAGTGAAGGCTCGGTAACGGTAGAGATTCATGCAAGGACCTAAATATAGATATGAAGACAAAGTCAGGAGAAAATCTATAGATGTACCTTTTTTTTAATCAATAGCAGTTTTTAATCTGTCAGTTGTAAGCAACTGAGACTAGACCTGTTGACTTTGGACAACTGGTAACTCAACCTCTTTGCGAACTAGGCGGAAGATATAAAGGATGTGCACTTAGTATGTGACAGTCTTCTTGACAATGAACAACCCTAATGCTACAAAAGGAAGGGTGCAGTATCTCATGACACAAGCAATTCACTGCCATGAACATAAACATTACTCCATCTATTGTAAACTACTTATAAGTCGCAGAATTCCTCCCGTACTCTCTTTAGTGAAGTAGAATAACTCTTCGTTTGTGGTGATTAGCACTGAAGCAGATTTCATTGTTAAACAGTATGTTCCAGCAGAGCAGGATTAATTATTAATAATGTACTTTGATATCTAACAAAACACTTTTGAACACCTACAGTCAGGATGTGGTTTTAGAATTATATTTCTGTTTTTATAGATACAAAACCTACTCGACTCATTTGTAGAGATTACATTGAGTACTGAAAGTAATTATCATTTTAAATAATTTCAGAAAAAAATTGCACCTTGCCCCTGTAGCGAGTGAAACAACTGATATGGGCTATGAATTTTAAAATCTATCTAAAAGTAAAGCAAGTGAAAAGCAACTAAAGCATTTTTTTTTAGATTCCACTCAAACCGCAGTTTATAGCTGCTGATATATTTTTAAACTATAGAAATTTTCATAACTGAATTCTACATGGACTGACAATTTTACAAATATTAATATTTAAAAGAAACAGAAAAGTATTTTTTAAAAATGAATGGAAAATCATTAAAAAAGTTATTAACATTTCTATCATTTGAAAAATATTTCAGCAGCGATAAAAGCAAACTTTTGCAAACTTCTGAATAATTTTGCTGTTCCAAACTCATATGACTTTCTTTATTCTGTGAAAAACAATAGGAAATGTTAGGCAGAATGTACCGGCTGCTCTTTTCCATATACAGAGATTATGGACTGCCACTGGAAATCTTCCCCTCTGCCATAGCTCTCAAAATTCATTTGCCAGTCCACATGTTCATACCTGGCACATCATGATCAGCCAGACAAGAACCAATGCCATTTGGTGTCATAGATATCAAACTTGAAGTGTCATACTTGAATACACATGGACACATATGAGATTTGAGAGCTGCAGCAGATGGGAACTTTTTATCTACTTAGTCTGTATTGCATGGCTTCAGAAGACTTGGAATATACAGCATGAGTCATATGGACTACTTTCATGGTACATTTTTTTTTCTTCCTTTTTGTAGTTTGACAGCTCGTGGTTACTGTATGCTTACTGTATGCTTTCAAAAACTATACTACTGACTGAAGTTTTTCTATGTGACATTATAATCGCCATTGTAACAAATCCAGGAGGTGCAGGCAAAGCTTATTAAAGCAGGGCTTTAGTATTTGGACAGCATTGTTTCATACGGTGTCTGTGTGCTCTCCCTCTCATTCATACACACGCAGAGGGACCCGGCTCTGACTGCGGAGATGGATGAGCTCTCCTCCCTCTTTCTCCCTCTCATCTCTCTGTGGCACAGTCTGTGACCACAGCAAGAATATGTGTATTTCTGACCCCTGAATTCTACATGGACTGGAAGAAAAAGCTAGACGGAGAAAGAGACTTGGAGAATAAAGGAATGGTGGCTGCAAAGGCAAATGGAGAATATGAAAGATGGGGAGAGGACGGGCGACAGAAGAAAAAAAAGTGTCTCTCTCAAATGAACACTGTTGACTAAGATTTGCTCTTCCAACAAAACCAGAATATCTGATCAAAATCCCCACAAAGCTACAGATGACAGACTTATTCATCCAGTGTGTCTATATTGGTAGCTGTATGCCACAGGCATGAGTAAAAAAAATAAATAAATAAATAATAATAATAATAAATTCCCAAGCCTATAAAAACAGTCATTGAAATAAAATAACAATAATAAAAAACTGAAGGACAAAAATAATTGGAAAGATTAGGGGAAAAAATATAGCGAACCATTTCTTTTTTTCTAACTTGATTTATGACTCACAAGTGACTAGAAATGTCACTGAAATCTAGAAGTATAAAGCCATTTAAAAATATGATTTCCAAGCTTGAAAAAACATCATGGGAAAAAAATAATAATAATAATATTAAATTATGGAAATGGGAAACTAGAAAAAAAATACAGAAAAGTTATAACCCATTTCTATAGTAAAGCATTATTTTCAACTAATATTTCTACTAATATTTTAGTGGCTTTAAGCTACTGTTTAGGAGTGTAATCTGTATAAAATTATTGGGTCACACTTTATTTTAAGGTCCAATTCTCACTATTAACAAACCAACTTTTGCCACAACAAACTCCTAATTTGCTGTTTATTAATAGTTAGTAAGGTAGTTGTTAAGTTTAGGTATTAGGTAGGATTAGGGATGTAGAATATGGTCATGCAGAATATGTGCTTTATAAGTACTTATAAACAGGCAACATGTTAATAATAGGCATACTAATAAGCAACTAGTTAATAGTGAGAATTGGTCCCTATACTAAAGTGTTACCAAATATTGAAATCAATTTAAAAAGTAATCACTAATTATTGTAAATGTCATGGGAATTCATTGGTCAAACGTGTGGAAACCCTGATATACACCAGCCAGTTAGTTATCAAGATACAACAAAAAAGATAAACCATTCACCATGCTACTGAATAGCTAAACATAGTAAAGTACAGATAATAGATCATTTTTTATTCTTAGGCTTTCACCTTTTCCGTCAACCATATACCAAAATACATTGCTGCTACAGTCCTTTAGATATTGTGAAAATATAATTCTAGTGGGAAAACAAAGAAAAGTTATTGTAGGCAGAACAACACAGATTTAAAATCTGTCTGAGCAGATGATATTATACATATTGTGTTCATTGGTCAAACGTGTGGAAACCCTGATATACACCAGCCAGTTAGTTATCAAGATACAACAAAAAAGATAAACCATTCACCATGCTACTGAATAGCTAAACATAGTAAAGTACAGATAATAGATCATTTTTTATTCTTAGGCTTTCACCTTTTCCGTCAACCATATACCAAAATACATTGCTGCTACAGTCCTTTAGATATTGTGAAAATATAATTCTAGTGGGAAAAAAAAGAAAAGTTATTGTAGGCAGAACAACACATTTAAAATCTGTCTGAGCAGATGATATTATACATATTGTGACCTTTATTATGTGTTGTGCACATATACTGCAATATCTAGATCTTCTTTCGCAGAGAATGAGTTCTCTGAAATGAATGAGCTAAATATGAACATGCAATTTGCAAGCAATATAACCTGGACCAGCTATGATCAAGAGCGCAACAGATGTTGACCGGTATGGCAGCAGCTGACCTGTGCAGTGCCAGGACTACAGATAGGAACACATGGCATTTTGGGAAAGGGCCCACTCTGACTGTGAGATTACCAATGCCTTTAGCAACCACACACTTTCAACAGGAGGCAGCAAACCAACAGGTGTCATTCCACAGGAAGCACGTGAGAATAAAGCTTGCCCATCACAGAAAAACTAAACTACATTTTCTGTAGGAGCAAAGCTGCCTTTTTAAATGATTAAGAACAATGTAGGTGGTGAATCACATCTCGAGCCCTGGCCTAAAACGGATTCTTCAAAAGGAACACCTCCACATCAGCACTATTTTTTCAATTCAATTGTCATTTGAGATGTACATCCTCCTTGAACTGTGGCCCACCACACAAAACCCCCAGTTTTGTCCGTATCGGTGCCCTGTCAGCATCATTTTTCATCTCGCCAAAGCTTATTACCAGCCAGGCAACAAGTCATGGTCAGCCCACAGTAAACCACAAAACCTTCTAGTCATTCTCAAGCCCAGCTAACAGCATTGAAACAATTAACCGAAGAGGATGCTCAAACCTAGTGTGTTTCACAAGCACTTTTTGTATCCCACTCCATGCGATTAACTGTAAATAAAAGTGTATTTTTCCCCCTCCGTCTCCGCCGAGCAGAATATCAATATAGCTTTTCAATTATTGGCCGGCCCCAAGTGAGGTCCAGACACTGATTGAGCAAGTGATGGGAAAAAGGCTGAGAGAAGAGACAGAGACCACAGCTGTTCAATCTGGGGGGCAAAGCAGGGAAAAAAAAAAACACAATCATTTCTCGGCGCAACAGCATTGTCAGTCACATTTATTACGAATAGCTATCGTCACAGCTTACTCCATGAACCTCTCCCTCTCCATTGTACATAAACTTCACGGCAAAAGCACATGCATTAATGCAGAGAATAAATATGCCGCTCTATTGAGCTTGTTTTATAAACAGACATTCCACAAAAGGATTGTCTCTTCCCTTTGAGTGTATCTACATCAATTTGCATTCATTAGAGCACAACCTCCGGGAACTAATCATAATCTGGTGTCACCCTATAGCCTAAAAGGTACATGCACACGAGAACGTTACGCTTGTGACACCTGCTACATACATGCCTCTACAAACACACTGTATCTGCAGCAGAACATATATTTGTCCATTACGGAAAACAAGCTATGCACTATTTGCATGAGTAGCCCAGCAAAGAAGCCTGTGCCATTAACCTTGACTCATTTTTACATTCGCGTAGCGTACACATCCAAGTTAAACACCCACCCAGACGTACACACATAAACAGACGATAGATAAGCACAGCTACACGGGGGATTGAACACCATATGGAGCCAAAGTCAAATACACACACGCACACATGACTGCACACACTCGCACAGACAGGCGGAGACAGTGCGATCTACTCACAGAATGAAGCAGACGACACCGGGAGCTAATATCAAAGGATTGGCACGGATACAAGCTGGCTGCGTCCCGTCGGGAATGCTGACAGATTCCGGGGAAAACGAGGAAGGAATATCCGAGGACACCTCTGAAACTGGATGGGGAAAGGGGGGTTGGTGGTGGAGAGGGGAGGGCGAAAGCAGATCTCACGCTTTTTTTAAGATCGGAGGTTAGGCTTCAGAAGATTTCCGTCTCGTCCGTTCTCGTTGCCTGGCTCTCCTTGTGGAATCTTTTGCCAAACGCTATCAGGTTCCTGATTTTGACTTGAGATACAACAGCATTTTGTCTGGGGTAAACAGGAGTACAGAAGAGAAATCAGTCGGGATAGGCAAATAAAAAAAAAATTCCAGCGGAGATGAAATAACTCAATTCCCTCCTTTGCTCTCCCAGAGGCACGGAGAGGGGGATAAAAACGGAGATGGAGTGACAAGATAAATACCTAAAACTGCAAAAATGAGAAGGCAACAGAACATTCTGTTTCAGCTCGGGGGGATAAAAAGCTTCTCCCTCCTTTTCCCCACCCTATCTCAGTCACTGCAATGTGTTACGATCTCCCTTACAGTCTTAAGGGTCATCTGGAAGAAAAAAAGAACAAAAAAATCTAATTTTCAAGATGAAAAGAAGATGAAAATGGAAACAGAAGCTTAACTTATCAAAAGGTAGGAGTTGGCGACGATCTGTGGCATCTGGCCCCCTCCCTCCCTTTTTCGCTTTCTTTGGTCTTGTTCTCCTTCTGTCTTTCAATTTACCTGAATCTGAATAGTAAAACTAAGGCATGCAATAAAATTTTTCCTTTTTTGCCCCAGATTGCAGGAGAACAGCCTTGTCAATCCAAGGCATACCATCAGATCTCTCTTTCTTATGTTTTTCTTTCTAGACCTACACAGTAAAACTGTTGAATGCCAGTCTAAAAGTTGAGATCTGATTGAGGCCTAATACAAAACAATCCCAAAATCGGTCTTTCCCTTCTCAGAACTGGACAGAAAAAGGGGGGGAAAAAACACCACCAAACGCCACAGATTGCAAGAAGATCGCCGTCAGAACTGGCCTGCAATCTGATTCTGAGTGGTGGGGTGCTTGAACGTATCCCCCAGAAAAACCACTTGAACTTCTAGTTCTCCATTTTCAGCTGCCTGCCAGGCAGGAAGTTCAATTATCTCCCGTTGAATGGTATCGCTTAGGATCCTCTCTGTGCGAAATGAAATCAAAGGATCTTCGTGTGATTGGATCACACTTATTCCTTTGGCCCCTCAGGGTTCCGTCCCAACTTAAAACGCTGGATGGTTTCAGAGTAGTAAACGTCAAGTGATTTCAATATAAAAAAAAATCCCAATCAAGGATTTGTTCTTTCTTTTCGGTCCTACTTCCTCAGCTGACTTTTTAACGCCAGATATCCTCAAGTCTCTGCGCTCCTGTCACCATTCTTTTGCTGGCAGGAAAGTAGGTGCATTCTGAGAGCATCTGGGGATGTATGGAGGAAGAACTTGCTGTCAGCAGCCAGGAGCGGTAAGACGCGTCAAGGGTGGAGAAATGGGCCTTTACGAAGCAGGAAACAGCCTGGAGCCGGAGGAACAGACAATTAGGAACATATAATTAAAGTAGGAAAAGACATAATGATGTAATGCCAGGGATGTAGAGTGGCCCGAAATGGTCTTTTTTCCATTACTTGCTCATTTTATGAGGGCAGTCGCATCATCCACACCTCTTACTCTATGATGCCCTTGCATTGACATTCTCCCTCCCTATACCATTCCCAAGTCCCTTCCTTCAAGCATTCCCACCTTTTTTGTGTCCCTCTCTCCTTGAACTACTATTTCAACACAATCTTACCTCTTATCCAACATATACAAGCTTCAAGCACAATTCTCGCTATATAAAAAGCAATTACAGCCGATTGTCCTTCAGATGAAGTGAGAAGCCAATGCAAACGCTTTAAACAGAGAACAATCGCTGCGATTATATTTTCACCGAGTGAAGTGGTGTTACGAGGGACCGTATGGAAAATGTTCCGTGATAAATATTAGCGAAACACTGGCTCCTTGCGTGCTTGAACGTTACATAAGCCTGTTAGCCGTAGCTGGAATAAAGAGAGAGGGGAAGGCGGTCAAGTGGCTGCCATGTTTCTAAATCTGTCAATCTACTGTGCTTTTAAACATGAACGCTCACAAGCTTATGCTTTTTACATCACGGAATGAGAATCGAGTGCATAACACTGTAAACACATTAATCCATTAAAATACATTATGCCTTGTCAAATTTGATTTGTTTTGACTCATTGAGACAAATATAATTAGGTATTTACAGGTCATGCTTTTGGCTTGCTTGGCAAACAAAGTATTACTTATACAAATATCTGGACGGATTTTAATCTTGATTTTGGGATCTGTTGCCCTGGTTTCTGTGTGAACGCTGTGCTATTGCGTTTTACATTAAAAAACAATTGAAATTTGGCTCTCTAGGGAAAACATTCCCTTTCACAGTGCATTTGTCCTTGAAAAACATGCCATGTCACAGGTAAATCCAGGCACTTTTTTAGTGATCATGCATGGAGCCAAACCAATCTGTTTTTGCCTACTCAAAGCCTTATTACACCATTTTAAAAGCCGTCATGTTAAATCAATAGGTCTGAGCCCTAGCAGACATCAAACTCCGTACCTTCGGCACACATATTAACAAAGACTTCAGCAAAGGGCGCCGAGATCACATTCTGTACTTTTCTCTGTGTGATCTAATGCTTCCGCGAGCGAGTCAGAGCACAGTGCCAAGAAATCAAGTGAAGGTGAGAGGTTGAAAACGAGATTCGTTTTTCTCTTGCACTTCTCGCACTTGGCACAGTGAAACATAATTCAGTCTGCTTTGTCATCCTCTATTCCTGCCCCTCTCTGTCTGAGATAGCGGCTCTGTAAAGGATTTACAACTCTGAAGATTTCCCTGATAAATCCGACGCTTTGCATCATCTCAGTTACACGGAGGTAGAGACAACAACAGTATTTCACTCAGTGATATCACACAACTCTATTTCACGGTACTTTATGAATCACGTCACGTAGGCGATAAAGCGGTTTCCATTTGGTCTCCATTAAGTCTCATTGCTGTCTAGGAGAAATAACTGAGATATTAATTTGATTTTTCTTTGCTACAAGTTTGGACGCCATATAAAAGCTGCTGTATCCAAAATGAGCGTTTTATATATGTGGTTACATGCATCCACTTCCTCCCAGTTGCTAAAGTTAAATAACCTTCACACACACACACACTCAGAGGCAATGGCAGCATAGCCAGCAAAAGCACAGCATCGTGGGTAAGCTGTCACAATCACCATCAATCTGCACGCTCGCTGCCTCACCCATGAAATACAAGCAGAGTTCACCGGCAGATGCATATACAGCCGTGACGATATACGAGTACTGCGTGAGTGTGTGATTTTGCGAAGCATGTGTGAAGGATGTGTTTGACCTGAGTGCATTGGCTTAGGTTGAGCGCTCCTGTGACACAGACAGTTGTAAATGGCTGTTGAGGGATGGGCAGATGGGGACCGATGGGGGGGAGCGGAGGGGGGACCGTGACAGATGAGAGAAAGAATGAAAGATAGAGAGAAAGAAAGAAAGAGTATGAAATGGGAAATAAAATAGCTGATAACAGAAAAAGGGAATTGAGGGGGAAAAAAGGGGGTGAGGAAAATGATTGCGGTCAACTCATAGTGCATCATGCATGGAAAAGAGGGATGAAGAAGAGCAAACGAGAAAAGCGAGGTACACTCACCCATGGCTCTTTTTTTTCTTCACTTGCGACACTGTAAGTCTATTGTGCTGGCAGAGAGAAAAATGAAAAAAAACAGATAAACCTCAACAGAATGCCAAAAGGTCTGATATTATGAACGCGTGCAAAAAAAAAGCTAGAGAGAAAACGAAGAACATCAGACAGAGATATCAGATGAGCTCAAGAGTCCGAGCAGCTCACCGCATCAGTCCCGGTCATATGCATAAAAGCAAAATGACTTGCTAATCGGAGTCTTAGAGAATTACACATGCAGCTATAAATCAACATGTCAGCATTCATGCACTCACATACACATGCACGCGTGCACGCAGCGGCATGAACAGGCTCCACAGGCGCTACCTCAGAGGATGCTAGGCTCTCCCCTCCTCCTCTTTTCCCCCGTTCTCCCTCTCTCTCTCTCTCAGCCTCTTCTGCGGTTTCTGTTTATTCACCACAGATCATTTCCCAAGAGAATGCAATGGTGGGTTCTCTTCATTTTCTGCATCCTTGCCATCCTCCCGTTTCACGCCCCCCCTGTTCCAGTCCGGCAAAATTGAGCTTGCTGTAATTTCTGGCAGCTGGGCTAATGTGTAAACTGCATTCGTGCCCTCTCGTTCTCTCTCACTCTCTCGTTGTGTCTCAGTGCCTCTTCAGCACTGCCTCCAATCCAATCAGAAGCACATCTCTCTCTCCCGTCTCTCTCGCTCATACCTCTCACTCCCACAAATACTGTAAAATAAACATCAAAATGTACATTCATCACAGTCACACTGGTCTCCTGAGCTTTATCCGCCATCAAAACACATACACCCAATGACAAAGATGATTTCCGCATACAGTACTTTACAATTCTTGGTAGAAATGATAGATTAAGACATTTAGAAGTTACTATACAAGTGTATTGACTATATTAAACCATTACAGAAACCAGAATAAACTACGGACACTATAATCGAACAGTGTAAGCGTCTGTTGTTCCAGGCAAACAATGTCTTACATAAGTAGTTTCACGTGTCTCAAATTACTTTTTACTCACTTTTGATCAACTTTAATCATCCTTGCACGATTTCTTAAAAAAAAAAAAAAAAAAGGATAATGCAAGATATTATTATCAGGTACATATTCTCGAACACTCTGTGGGGGTTTATTTTGTGAGAGTGACCTTTATCCCTTAATTACATAATGTATTTTCAGCCTTAAGCCAAGGAAATTATTCACACAACAAACCAGACGTGATGTCATGCTCTAGGGCTTCTGTTTATAGTAAACAATAAATCCCAAATAATAACAATACTATATACAGTACCATCTTCTCCACTTTCTTGCACGCAGTATAAACAGAAGTCAATGGAGTGCAAAGTCTAGTTTGACCGTGACTTTACCCTGAAAATCATGTCAGTCACACACAGTAACTGGAAGGCATCAAGAATGTACATAGCAGCTTGTCATGGATGTATGCACACATAACACATGCACATACATAAATACTAAAGCAATAAGCCATGAGACGCTGTGTTACAGTAAATTTACCACTGCTGAGTATGTCAGTCACAACATGAAGTGAATTTAAGTTTTAATAGTCTGAAACAGCATTGCCATTCAGTCAAAAGTGTGTGTATATCAGCTATTATAGAAAGCGCTGAATGTGGATCATCCAATGGATTTCAAAAATATATAGTGATATAAAATATAATTTATGCAAGACTTAATAAAATATTAAAGTCATTACTTTT